ACACACACACACACACACAGGACCAGATCAGATCACAAGTCACTGTTTCTCTTAACTTGCAAAAAAAGTAAGTAGGTGAAAACTTAGATGAGCTTCTGTAGGTCAGATATGAAGTGCTGAGGTGACATGTCTCCAGTCCATTAATGGCCTTGTCTGCTCTCATCTTGTCAACCGCAACTTCATTTACCAGATTCTGGCCTTTTCTTGGGATTGGCTCCAGGCCACCCCACCCCCCACCCAGAGACCCTCATAGGATGAGCAGTGTAGATTGTGAATGGATGGATGGCCTTTTCCTTTAAAATTTCTAGGAGGTTGACATGAACACAAAATGTAGTAAGAGTCCCAGTAGCTTTGACAGTTTTTTTGTCTGTACTTCCAATAAGGGAACTTCATCAAAGTGTAACTAAAGTCCAATATGACAAAAATAATGGTTATAAGAATAATTAAGTCCACCACTTTGGTCCTGACCGACATATTTAGACAAATGAATTTCCATTCAATTTTGTAAACACATTCATGGACATTCATGGTCCCCAGAGGAGGAATCCTACCAACTTACCTCTGGCTTTATTTCAAGCCATCAAGCAGGTCATTTATTTTACTTATTTAGTGAATTATCTCGATAAGAATTCAGCCGATTGGCTCACAATGTTGTGGAGACATTCATGGTTCCCAGAGGATGAAACCTTATTGTTGGTTATAGTGTGAAAAATGTCCAGAGCCTTAATAAATATTGGATGGATTGCTATTTGATGAATACTCTTAGATTCTTAGATTCAGATGCTGCTGGACAACTGACATGTACTTCTGTTGGAGTTCTCTTTTGCCTTTAAAGTCTTCTTTCCTTCTACAGCCACTGCTGTGGTTTCTGGGGTGATGCACATCAGTCCTGGCGTCAGTACTCCAGTCAGGCAGCTCAGCAGTTGGCCTGGCTGCAGTGAACTCGACAGCACAAATCAGCACAAATCAGCATGCAGGCTCAGTCTGCTTCATCTGACCCTAAAGCAAAGTCAAGGATTAAGAAAGGAGACGCTACGTTAAACACAAATAAGAATGTTTATTGTTGATGCTCAGGGATTGTTGTCCAATCAAAATGAAAAAACATTTTTTTGCTTGAAGACCCTTCAAATGCTGAATTCAACAGTAGTAGCTGCATGAACACTTTCAGGGTTTGGACTCAGTACAGCACAGTGTTGTCTTTTGTTCACTTATTTTTTGATTTGCCTGGTAAGGGGTATTTTCTACTCAGGCACATTTGGTGGATTTTTCAATCAATTCCTGTTTTCATGTTTCTGAATCACATCTTTGTTTTGTGGTTTGGGCATTTTAGAATTGAATTCTTCAAAGCTATTCTGCTCTCTCTTTTGTCTCTGTGTATTCCCCTTTTTTTTTGCGGTGAAAATGGATCCCAGCTCCTGCTTTTATTCACTCTCTCCCTCTCTCTTGTAATAGGCTCATCTCTCCTTCCCTCTCTGCTCTGACTATCTTTTGTGAGTCTGAATAAAGCAGCTAATGGTGCACAGAAATGGTGGCAGCACAGTCACGTCTATCCAAAGACCTCTGTAATGTGCAGCGGTATATAAGTGAAAATACACATTCACAGTAATGAGAGGATGTCATTCTTTCACCTATCTCATTTATTAGGCATATAGGCTTAATGTCAAATAACTGCAATAAAAGACTGGGACACAACCGTTTGTTACTAAAGTGTTTTTCCTGTATTTTCTTATTTGATGGCCTCATGTCATATTTGATAATGGGCAGAACAATAGTATTTTTTCTCAAGAAGTTTAGCAGTAATTTTAATTGCTGATATAAGTGCTCAATAGTTATGTCCATCTCATCTGTCTTCAGGTGTACATCCGCATCCTGGACAACGAATGGAATGTGTACAGACGTTACACAGAGTTCAGGGAGCTCCACAACCACCTGAGAACCCAGTTTCCACAGGTGGAAACCTTCAACTTCCCACCGAAGAAAGCCATAGGGAACAAGGTGAGCCGACAGTAACCCTAACCATTCGGATTGTTCCCTTGTGTCTCTTTGTCAGCCATGTGTGTTGAGTAGTGGTAAATAAACAACAGTCAGTGTCCCTTGGCAATTGAAATGAAAACCGTTGCTAGCAGTCTGATCCAATGTAGCTAATGTTAGCTTCGACTGACGTTTCCGGGTGATTTGAATAGGATTAGTTAGTTAGTTAGTGTTCAGAATGCAGCATGTGACTACATTACTGTACGGAAACATATCAAATTGAATCAGACTTAATTTATATAGCTCCCTGCAAAGTTACAATAAAAGGTGCTTCAAAATACTGTAAAAATACAACAATAGGATACAACAATACAGCAATGCAATGAGCAATGATATGAATAAGATTAAATCATCAAATGAAATAGAATATAATAAAGCAGGTAGATTAAATGGAATTAGATCGAGAGAATGCTCAGCTAAAACAGTAGCTCTTAAAATAGTTTCAGATGAGCTAAAGCAGAGATAAATACACAGCCTTGTTATTGTGTTGCATTGTAGAGCCAGTTAGTCTCGGTCTTATAGGTGCGATAATAGAAACTGTAAACTCAGACTGTTATTTCATTGTCACATAACACTGCTTATAGCTGCTTAGCTTCCATACGTGGATAGATAAAGGTGTTTTTTTGTTGTTCATATTTTCAAAGAGCATATCTCACAGAAAAGGATTTAAGAATGAGGTGGCCCTTGTTGCACAGGTAAAGTTTGGCGAGGGCTGCTGGAGTGTAACAGTCACTATCTGTTCAGGGCAGAGTTTTAGTGAATAGAGGATTGAACTCTTCTCCCCCATAAAACATATAAACCCTTATGACTTTTCACCAAGTGTTGTAAAAATTTACACCGGGCTGTAAAAAGATTATATCCGCCTGTAAAGTCTGTTGAGCAAGTAAAGTGCTGATTAGATGGGGCCAAGTTTATTTCTCTCCATTCATCCTTTCTGTTTTTGCTGCCTCACTATTTATACGGGAGACAATCGCTGCTACACATTTCCATGAGTCATTCGGCCCTTGAGCAACTTGGAGATCTCTCTCTCTCTCTCCTCTGACCCTGCTCGTCTCCCCCTCTTATTCATCCTCTGCCTCCCTCTGTCTCGCTTCAACCTTTGGGATATAATTTGGTGCTGACCCCGATTCTCTGGCTGGTCGGATTTGATGCTGGCACAGCCAAAAGCCTGTCGCCTGACTCCCCCACCTTCAAAGTCGGCACTTTCACGGCTAGATACTGGATGCACTGAATGCTTAGTTTCAGGGGCTGCAAATATGAGA